TGAGGTTCCTGGGGCCCCAAACCCTGCGAAAACGCCCGATGACAAAACAAACAACGCCCAGATCTCAGGGTGTACACTGGGATGGCCGCTGGGGGGTGCTAAGTGGATACGTAGGGAGGGGTAACAAGATGGTGGGTTACAAGTGCCCTAAGTGGCTTCGGGGGGGTGCGTAACTCCGCTAAGTGGGCGGAGCCCACTTAGCCGGGACACTCACAGCCTCCCAAATCACCCCACTTACAAGCCAAGTTGGGCCAGATGACACACACCACGGCATCTGCGCCACAGACCCCCAGTCCACTTAGCAACCCCTGCGGCGATCATGGTGCATCGAACCCCTCCGACCGGCAGCCTCCCCTCTCGGGTGAAACTCATGGGAGCCTCCCATACCGTTTTGTCGGCTCTTGCGAATTCACGTTAGTTGGCGCTAAATTGACGCTGGTCGATGCTGGTTGACGCTGAAATCGACGGACGCTAATCGACGCCAGCCGACGCAAATCGGCGCTATCTCATCCACTCCTCGACGCTAGTCGACGCTGACAGCGGAATTCAGAGGGCACGCCAGGCTCCCGGGTCTTTGCTACCCAACTCCCTCACGACTCGCCACCCGGGAGGGCCACGTAGGGCACCGAGCTGCCTGCCTCCTCGGAGCTCCGCGCCAGCGGCGCCGGCGCCGCGCCGGAGCTGCCGGACTGCGCCGGCGTCGGCCAGGTCCGCACCGGCCCCCCGCCGCGGGCCCTCAGCGACGGCCGCGCGGGGCCAGGCGGGGGCGCCGCGGCGCGGGCGCCAGGCGAGCTGCCGCTGCCGGAGCTGCCCCCGGCGGCGGGCCTGGGAGAGAGAAAAAAATCCGATGCGGCCCCCCCCCCCCCGGGACCTCTCCCCAGGCGCGTTCTGACCAGCACGTCGGGCTGCAACCTTTTCGCAACGGGCGGTTGCGATCGGCTTCGGGCCTCGGGAACTTCACAGATCGGTCCGGCTTGAAACATGCAGCAGGAGGCTGGGGTCCAGGGCTCCCGTGGCCATCTTTCGCGATGTCGCATTGCTGCTCGATGTAAGGTCGGACATCACAGCGTGTGACAGCGAATCCAGGCGTGGCGACGAGGGCCTCGCATGCTGCTCCAAAGGACGACACACTACAGAAGGGTAGCGTGGCACCTTCCCGGAGATCTGACGCCTCGACCACCATTGCAACCGCGAGAGATCACGACCGGAGCCCTGGACGGACCCCATTGAATGGGGCCCTGGGACACACAAATAAATACACACAAATAACCGGATTCCCCATATTTTCTCATATTTTCTGTGTTTTTGTCTTCCCCCCCACTTCCCATATTTTCCCATATTTTCTAGGGGATCGACGATTAATTGTGTCTGTGTGTTTTTTCCCCTCCTGACCCATCCTCCTGCGCCGCTTTCTGAGAGGCGCAACCGTCCGTGGCGGGGGGCCCGAGGCCGAGCGACAAAAAAAACCGTGCGAACAAAAAAGCTGCGGCGCACGGCTCTCTCAAAGCTTCCCCCCTTTCTCTGCACCGGGGGCCCCCGCGCGGCAGCGCCGGCAGCGCCGCCGCGGCGCGCCTCGGCCGTGGCGGGGCGGACTGAGACAGCGGCAGCTCAAGAACGGTCTCTCCCAGAGAGCCAATCTCTGTACACCGACGCTCCTTCCGGCCCTGCACTGGAAGGTGCACAAGAAACCAGATCCTGGTGTACACGGAACCCTGAGGTCTGCATTTTTTTTCCACGAACACACCACTGGTGCCCGACCACATGCACTAGGCAAGCTTGCAATTCCCTGAAGGCCAACCTGCAATAGGCGAGCCGACACGCGAGACCCTGACCAGTGCAGGTGAACCAAAACGGGCGCAGCCTCGGCCACGTAGCAAGGCTTACATGCTCCTGCGGCCGAGCCACGGAAGCCAGATTCCGTGCCTAAGCGCCGTGAGTCGCAAGGCAAACACGCACGTCCCAGAAGACAAACACCGGTCTTAAGTAACCTTTCGCCGGGCGAACAGACCGGCTGCGGCGGCACCTGTGGATTACTTTACAGGGTCGACGCCCCCCCCCAAAAAAAGAGAGAGAGAACGGACCAGCATCGGGCCGCAGCTAGGTGGCCGGAGGGGCGGGGAGGGGAGGGAACGGCGGAGAGACAGGAGAGGTGCAACCAGAGCGAATGAGCAACCGGACGTAAACAACATCACCAGGTCGCAACATTGCCGGGTGGACGCCGGCGTGTCGCACTACGCGCGGGAAGGGAAGAGGGAAGGAGGAAGGAAGGGAACAAGGAGACAGTGACGCAGCGCAGAAAGGAAATGCAAGGCGAACATAAAGTATATTCAATAAAGGTCCCGGCGCCCACCGCCGGACCAGTTCGCCAAAGAGCAGCGACCGCCCAAGCCAATGTGCGGCACCCAGCGGGCGCGGCGTACTGGATCGAGCGGACGAGTGCGAGCCGGCAGGCCCCCACATGCAAACGGCGCTGCAAGCCAATTGACGGAGCACGTGCACAGGAGGAGGAGCGGGGAGGGGGAAAGACTTGGAGAATAGGTTGGAATACTTGCCGACAGCGCTCAGCGCTTCACTCCTTCCTGCCGAGCTCCGCTGCTTCCCCGGGAGACGATTAAACAAAGAATATACCACACCACCCCGACGTCGTCCTCGACCCTAAGAAGAATCCTGGGATGGAAGAGCAGCCCGCCACATCAGCCTCCGGCCTCCCAGGGTCCAGGCGCACCACTTGTCCGAGCTGCGTCCAGCAGTGGCGACGACCCTGCTGCCCCTCGTCGCCCTCCTCCTCCCCCACCTCCCCCGCCTCCGCATCCCCCTCTCATGCCCCCCCCCCTTGCGGGCTCCCCCCCCCCGAAGGCCAGGTAGTGCTGTTCCAACCGTTTACGCCGACGTCGTGGGCCTGGCGCAGATGCATCCGCAGGGAGAGGGGTAACAGCCCATCCAATAATTAACGCCTGGATGCAAAAATTCGCACGCAGGCTATAATAGGATGCAACTAGGTATCTTGTTCTCCACGCGAGAGATGTCACCCGTGTAAGTCCGCGCCCCCGCAATCGTTGCGCACTGTTGCGCGCAAAAAAAACAACGAACAATTGCGCCTGTCGCCGCCGCCGACCCACCTGCGCCAGACCCACCACTCCAGCCTAGCAACTGGCCCTCCTCCGATGCCGTTCCGTCCACTAGCAAGTGACACCGCAGAGATGTGGGAGAAATACCCTGCAGCGAGCGCATTCCAGACAACAGCCATAACTATGAGCAAGAAAAGTATAGGTTAAGATACCTGGGCCCGCTTCCCAGGAAGCTTTTTGAAGCAAGTCTGGGTAAACTTCTGTTGTTCGCGCTGTAGGGGGCGAGCGTGCTCAAGAAAGTTGGCCAGCTTCGCGGCAAGCTGGTCGAAAAACGCTGGCCCATCTTCTCGGAAGTAAACTTCTTAATCCTAAATGTTCTCGGCCATACAATTGGGACGCCTGAAATCAGTACGGACAACATGGTTACGATGCCTAACCACACATGTTCTGCAAAACCGACAGCGGCCGCTGTGGGCAGGCGGCCTTCTGTCTCAAATGGACAAGGCCCGCGGCGGCACCGACGGCGAATCCTGCTCAGCATGAGCAAGGAATGGTGCAGGTTTTTGTGCCCATCCTTTATACGTACGCACTTCGATCGTCCCGACAACACACACTGGGGAAAAACCAAGGGGTACCGACACCGCTACTCCCCGGACCTCTCCCGGGTCGCGTTCTGACCAGAATTTCGGTGCGAATCCAGCGGTGGCGACGAGGACGTCCCAGGCGACGAGGCAAGAGTAGCGGTATGGGTACCTTCTCTCCTCTCTCGAATGTCCATCGTCCCGATCACATGCGCTGGCCCTCCTCAGAGCCTCGGCCGCGGTGGGGCCAGCCGGCAGCGCCGCAGCGGCCGGCGGCGCGGCCGGCGGCAGCGCCGCGGCACCGCCGCGCGCAGCAGGGGCGGCCGCGCCGCGGGGGGCCTCGCCAGCCACGAGGCGCAGCATCTCCCGCAGCCGGCCCTTTGGCGGCTGCACGGAGGCCATGGCCCCACTGGAGGGGCCCCAAGGACACGCAAAGATGAATAGGCAAACATTCCAAGAGTCCCTCCAATTTTTGTCCAGGTGCTCTGGAGCTTCGTCTTCCCCCCGCTTCCCAGGTTTTCCCACATCTTCTGGGGCACAGGCGATGCAATGTGTCTGTGTGTGTGTGTTTTGTTCCTCTGGACCTTCGGGGAGGGCATTGGGTGAGGAACCATTGCATTAGAAATCCGGGTTCCGGGAGCGGGTGGGACTCCAATCGTGGATTGGCCATGGAGATCACCACCGCCCTTACTGGATAAGGAGTGCCCCCGGGTCTGAAGCCTCCTCGGCACACTCCTCAACGAACGCCCCCACCGTGTCCTGCTTTCGAAGTTTGCCCTCCAGCAGCGAAGCACAGGAGGAGAAGGAAGATCCCGAATGCACAGCGCGAACGCGGCGAGCCGCCAGGCAGCGAAAACAAAAACATACAGTAGCCCCGGAAATCGCGGAGCACGAAAGCAGGTAGCGGCCGACACGGATACAGCCGATCCTGCGTTCTCATGCGTCGCATACGTTTTGCCCGTGGGGCAGTTGTGTGCGACACCTCCACCACATGAAACATTGCGGAAAAACGGATTCCGATGGCGATACCAGCCTCTGGCAGAATCCCGGCAGCGCATCGAGGGCACTTCGTGGCTCACCAAAGGCGCCGTCGCCAAAATTGAGGCCACCTGCCTCAGGGTTTCGACGCCCGGGCATTTTGAGGCGGCACCGTCGCAAAATACCAGTTCGCTGCAGCCAGGGAACTCGACAGCAGGCAAAGGGGTGACCTTTCGTCCGCGGCATGCCGATCCTCGCAGGCGATGTGATCGCGTCGGCCTGCGTGCGTGGATCCTGCGCCCTCGCGCCCCCCCCCGAGTGCAGCGCACCAGAGGCCACTCCGGCGAGAGGTCGCTGGTCCCGTGCAGCCGACCTTGACGTGCCTGGGCCACAGGGCGGGGAACAGCGCGGCGAGGAGCGAGGCGTACATGGCCCAATCGGTGGCCTTCCCTGAGATCCTGGCGTCTCCATTTGTTCGGGCTGGGCGTTTTCGCCCAAATTCGGCACCTGGGACCCTCACGTATGGATTACAGGCCTCCTGGATGTGGTCCGAGTAGATGGGGACGGAGGATCTCGCCGCATCGCCGATGCATCAGCGATGCATCGCCGATGCATCGGCGACGTCGGCGATGCATCGGCGACGTCGGCATTGAGGACACTGGGCTCCACATCGCGCGGCATCGCCGATGCATCGGCGATGCATCGGCGATGCGGCGCGATCCTCCGACCCCATCTACTCCGTCGCCATCTAGGAGGCCTCGAAACAAAGGGTTCAGAACGTTGTCGTGATTTGTGTCACGAGGCGGCGGATCCCAGGGCTCAAGAGCAGCGAACACAAACCTCCGACGACATGATTTGTTCAATGCTGCCGTTGTTCCTGCAATTCGGCCTCTGGGGGCCGTTTCGAATACCCCAGGACCCTGGGGCCAATAGAAAAAGATCCAGGGCGAAACACTGTTATGTTGCATCCTCGGGGGACCTTGTCTGTCTCATCGCGGCCCTGTCCGCGTCGAATCCGTGTCGAATCCATGTCGGACTCGTCGGATCCATATCGAATCCGCGTCGAGTCCGCGCCAAATCCGCGTCGAGTCGGCGGCGAGCCCGCGTCGGGCACAAGAGAAGGCACCAATTTTGGGAACAGGCGAGGTCCCCCGAAGATGCAACGTACACAGTGGCCCTGGAGAAGGGGTCGGGACCTCTTGCGCCGCGCATTGAACAGATCAGATCGTCGGATGCCTCGGACAGAATCCAGATGCACGCCCTCGCGGTCTGAGGTACGGGCCGAGATCCCGTGGAGACGCCGCTGCATGGCTGCAATCCGCGCGGGGCATCCTCGGAAGAAAACACCTCGTGTCCACGGGGTCACGGCCCGAAGAGCCCCTTGCCCGCGAGGACGTGGATGCGGAGGTTGCCCGCCGCGATGCCTGGCGCAGCGGCGAGTAGTTGTGCGGCTCGGCGATCCACGCTGCGTCCGCCGCTCCGAAGAGCCACTGTCGGAGGCTGAGGAGGAGGGTGGGCCGAAGCAGGAGGGCGAAGTACAGCCATTTGAAGCGCGAGTAGATGTCGCGGAAGTTGTACAGGGCGACCACCTCTGGGACAGCTGCTCCACGTCCTTGTCCTCCTCGTCCTCCTGCTTAACTTCTTCTCCTCCTCCTCCTCCTCCTCCTCCTCCTCCTCCTTCTCCTCCTCCTCCTCCTCCCCCTCCTCCTCCTCCTGACCACCTCTGGGGCAACGGGCGACTCCGCAAGGTGGGCGCTGATGGTGTCTAAGCTCAGCGACGTCGCCAAGACTGTGACGATCTGGAAGATCGCGAAGACTGCCGTGAGCAGGGTGTCCATCTGCAGGTCTGGGCGCAGCGCGTCAACCACCGACAGCGTGAGCGCCACCGGGCCCATGAACGTCAGGATGAACGCCAGCTCCTCTGGCATGAGGCGCAGCCTGAGGAGGCGCCAGCCGACGGCAACGAGCAGCAGGAACGTCGCCTCGGAGATGGCCTGGACCGGGGAGCGGCAGCCCCCCCACCTCCCTCCCTCCCTCCCTCCCTCCCTCCCTCCCTCCTGCCTCCTGCCTCCTGCCTCCTCCCTCCTCCCTCCTCCCTCCCTCCTTCCCTCCTCCCTCCTCCCTCCTCCCTCCTCCCTCCTCCCCCAGATCTCCGACTACACTATTCATTCGCTGTTCCATCCCCCTTTTATTTGTTCCTCGAATCCGGCTTCGATCTGAGGCCCGTCTTCCAGAGATGGCACGGGGCGAGTACTCGGCTCCGGGGATTGGGTCCAAACCTCCCTGGGGCCACCTATCTGAAGAATCATGTTGTCGGATGTCTGGGCCTGTGGGTGCCAAAGACGGCCTGGAACACACCGAGCAGGCCCCCAGAAGGCCAAGGACATGCATACATGCAAGGTCATGCGCCTGCGCGCGTGTATCCCAGTGCGTGCAATGGCGGCTCACAGCTGATTGCCATCCGCGAAGATCATGCACATGTCCTCTGACTTCAAGATCGAGGTTTTGCATTTGCGAGGAAAACAATTCTCGTGTTGGGAGGAAGGGGTTGGGAGGATGAAGGGTCTGAGCAATAACGTCCGGATGAAATGAAGGATACCTTCGGCCACCTACGGATGAGGATATCCTCCTTTCTCCCAGCCCATCTTCCCAACCCGATCATTGTCTTCCTGAATGTGACACCCGTTCGTGGTGTGGGCACTGTGTCTTTCGAATGCAACGCTACATCATAGGCGTCGTGCCCAGCCCAAGACATGTGCGCTACCGCAGCTCGTCGTCCCCAACTGGGGCCTCCAACACGGCAGGGAGACGACCAGACGCGCTTCCCGACTGCCCCCGCGGGAGCCCGCGACGGCCGTGCTCTTGCCCGCAGCGAGGGCTCCCAGAGCTCTTGGCTCCACCCCCTTGGAAAGCCCGTGGGCACCCCTGCAGGGCGGGAGGCCCAGCACTAGGAGCTGCCGTCACAGATGTGTGCTCGAGGCGCCCCCGGAGGTCACACCAGGGACAGCCACGACGACGAAGCCGTCGTGGGTGTCGACGACGGCGGCGGCGATGACGACGGTGACGACGGAAACGGCGGCGGCAATGACGGCGACGACGGCGACACCGACCACGGCGAAAACGAGGACGGCGACGACGTCGACGTCACGGCGACGTCGTGGACGTCGACGACGACCACGACGGCGACGACGACGGTGACGACGGAAACGACGACGGCGACTGCTGCAGGGATCCGCTGTCTCGACATTTTCTCAACCCAGGGGACCCAGGAGCCCCGACCCTTTCCCTGGGGCCAATGTCGGAGATCTGAGGAGGGCCACGACGAGGACGCCAACGGTGACGGCGGCGACGAAGAAGCGACGACGACGTGGACGTCGTCTTCGGGGACGACGGAGACGACGACCGACGACGACAACGACGACGGAAACGACGACGACGACGACAAAGAAGACGGCGACGACGAAGAAAAACGACGACGACGACGGAGAGGACGAGGACGATGGCGGCGTCGTCGCCGACGGCTACGACGGCGAGGACGACAAGGACGATCGACGCCGACGCCCGGCGCCGCCGACCCTGAAGGGAGACGACGACGATGACGACGACGACGACGACGACGACGACGCCGACGCCGACGCCGACGCCGACGACGACGACGACGACGTGAACGTCGTGGTGGGCGACGGCAGCGCCGACGGCGACGGCGACGGCGGCGGGCCTGGACCCTGCCCGTGAGCACGAAGGCCACGGCCCTCCACGGCGCGACGCGCCCGTCGCGAGACAGGTCGGCGTAGTACTCGGTCGCGCGGGGGCCCCCCACCCCCAAAGGACCCGATCTGAGCTGGCCCCGAGGAGCTGGACGAGGAGGAGGAGGAGGAGGAGGAGGAGGAGGAGGAGGAGGGGGAGGGAAGAGGAGGAGAAGGAGGGAGAGGAGGAGGAGAAGGGAGGAGGAGGAGGAGGAGGGAGAGGGAGGAGGGGGAGGAGGAGGAGGGGGAGGAGGAGGGAGAAGTATCGGGTTCGAGGTTCCAGGTTGTCCGGTTTGTTCGTCGGCCCTCGGCGGTTTTCCAGCCTCGGGATGCCTTCCAGCAGCTGCGCCTCGCCGAGTGGCGTCCGGAAGTGCCTGGATCGTCCCGAAGGGCCGCTGGGAAAGGCACCTCCTCTCCAGACCTTCAACGCATTGTAGAATATAATGCGGATTTGTTTCGTCTTCGGCCTCTGGGGGCCCTCGCACGGTTCCATGACCGTCAGAAAACGACTCGGGATGCAAAACTGGCCATTTGGAGAAGGGTCGGGACTTCCAGGGACTCCGCTTTGAGCAAACATCGAGGCATCGGGTGTCAGGGTGATTTCTGCCAAGCTGCGGAGAGGGTGAAGGAGGAGGAGGAGGCCCCCACCCTCTCCAGGGTCGCCAGACTAGGCTAATACAACGCAGCCCAGGGCTTGGGCTGCCGACGGTTTCACCATGCCCCCTTCTCCCCCCCCCCCCCTCCCCCCTCCACCTCTCCTCCTTGTGTTTCGCTACGGGGCTCGCTTGCGCTTATGAGAAGTGGGGGAGGGTGATCCAGGCTTTGTCGACTGAAAAACCACCGCGGGAGTCCGTCGCACTTGCAGAGACCCGTCAATCGGCCGTCGAATCTTGTCCGATCGCCTGTGCGCTCTCGTCCGCTCGCCAGGCCTTAACCTCGAAGCTCGCGGAACACTCCCGAAGAAAGGGAGGCTCCATCCTTGATGTATTCCCCTGCCCCCTCCCTCCCCCTCCGCCACCAACCACCAAGAACCAAGGGAGTCGTGAACCTCCCTCCCAGGCGGCGCAGGCCGCCGTTGGGAAGGCAAAGGCAGCGTCGAGGATTCGACTCTGTTGCCTACAGTACGAGGCCGAGGAAGAGGAGAATCAGGAGTGGGAGGGGGAGAAGGCGGAAAGAACTCTTGATGTGTCTACGCAATATGATATGCGATCTCCTGGGGGGCCAAGTCCCGGTTCGCTAAAGGCCAGATCGAGTTAGTCTGGAGGATCGGGGGGAGGACGACACGATTATGTTCCTTGCAACCGCAATCAACATTGTTTGTGTGTGTGTGAGTGCAGCACTCTTGTTTTCTGAGTTCGAGTCTTGGTAAGCTCCGAGGATCCTGGCGGCAATCTCTGCTGCACCATGCTCCACTGGTGTTTGCCATAATGATTAAACAAACGAGGCCACTACTTCTTCAACTCCCTCAACGCCTGAAGAAATCCGAAACAAAGCGTGCTTCAAGATTCCTGGTGATACGGTTAAGTCGGGCCTGTCCCCCTACAGGGGGAAATTTTCGACGAAAAACAAAAATTACCCCAAAAATGATCCAACAATAGTCTGGAGACTATGTGTTGAATATTTCTTGACCTTTTTGGGCATTTTTGCTGTATTTTTTCAGATTTCGTCGAACATCCCCCTGTAGGGGGACAGGCCCGACCTGACGATACGGTCCGGAACGTTTACTTGGTGTGTCGCGGCGGCAGCCCCGTCGACACGCCCTGCCCTGCGAGCGAACAGCGTGTCGCTCCGCCGTGCGGGTCGGGAGGCTCGGAACGCCTCGGGACGTTGAAGCTGGGAGACCAGGAGGTGGATAGCGCGCCGCGACGAAGCTTGGTGGGCCAGAACTGGCGGAGCGATTCGCTCATCCTGGGCCACTGATCATGCTCTTGGTCGCACCATCATGAGACCACAGAACAAGGGGACTAAGACACGATCAAAGCGCCCGATCGACGCGGCGATGGTTTCCATGAGATCCGGCGCCGCGACAAAAATGCAACGGCATGGGACATCACGGCCAGACCCCTAGACCCAAATTTTCTGTAGCATCTCTGGAGCCTGATCACCGACCTGTGAGGGTTCCAGGGCTCAAATCCAAGCGGAAACGCCCGATGAGAACAAATCCGATGCCTGGATCTCTGCGCAGAAGGACTCTGTCGAACCCTGCGGGCAGACGAGCCACTCTTATCCGAAGCACCCCGCGAAGCGAATGCGTTTAGCAAACGCGCCTAAGGAAGGAATCGAACGAGGCTGGGCTGCTCAGCAAACACCCAGGGCTGTTCAGTAAACGCCCATCATGGGTGCCAGGGTGTTTTTTCCCCCTTCGACGCTTGACCCTCATGCTGCTGCTTTCTGCTTCGAGCGAACATAAGCTGTATGGTTGTTGCATTCCCACGAGGAATAAAAATCTTGCCGACTGAGGCGATGCGATATACGCATGCCGTAGGCCGAGCAGCGTGCAACCGGAGCGTGCGTGGCGGAGAGAACCCAAACCAGGAATAGAAGCCCGTGAGGGCGCAGAGCGCCACGCACCAGGGCGGTGGAGGAGGCGAAGGGGGCGAGCCCGATAACGAAACATGAATTTCTTATTCCTCCTCCTCCTCCTCCTCCTCCTCCTCCTCCTCCTCCTCCTCCTCCTCCTCCTCCTCCTCCTCCTCCTCCTCTCGCCGAGGAAGAAATGCACGCGTCCGAGCGATGCCAGGGATAGCCCTCCCCCCTTCCCCCTTCCCCTCCCCCTCCCCCTCCTCCTCCTCCTCCTACTCCTCCTCCTCCTCCTCCTCCTCCTCCTCCTCCTCCTCCTCCTCCTCCTCCTACTCCTCCTCCTACTCCTTCTCCTCCTCCTCCTCCTGGTTCTGGGCGGCAGCGCTCGGCCCCGGGCCGAGGGGATCGGCGGAACCCCGGGCCGCGACCCCGGAGGAGCAGAGGCGCGCTCTCTGGGGCGCGGGCGCGCCACCCCTGGTACCTCAGGGAGGGGGGGTGAGAGGCGGGAGGAAGTCGAGGGGGGGAGCGTCGGGAGGGGGGGCGTCGAGGGGGGAGTCGAGGGGGGAGCGTCGGGAGGGGTGGAGGCGGGAGGAAATCGAGGAGGGGAGCGCTGGGAGGGGGGAAGGAAAGCCGCGAGGAGGCCGGTCTGGCGGAGGCGGGAGGAAGTCGAGGGGGGGGAGAGGGGGGAGGAGTACCTCAGAGAGGGGGGGGGGAGTCGAGGAGTACCTCAGAGAGGGGGGGGGAGAGGCGGGAGGAGGTCGAGGGGGGGAGCGCTGGGCATCGCTCGGACGTCCATTCCCCGTGTTTTGTTCGTGGCTGTTTCGCCAAATGATCCAGGATGCTCCTCGATGGTCCTCGCCGAAGGAAAAATGCACACGCCCGAGCAATGCCAGGAGCATTGGGAGGGGGGAGGGCGGCGGGAAGAAGGCGGCGGGAAGGAGAGCCGTGAGGAGGCTGGTCCGGCGGAGGCGGGGGCGGAGGGGAGAGGCGGGAGGAAGCCGAGGGGGGGAGCGTTGGGAGGGGGGAAGGCAGCGGGAAGAAGGCGGCGGGAAGGGAAGCCGCGAGGAGGCTGGTCTGGCGGAGGCGGGGGAGGAGGGAGGCGGGGGGAAGCCGGGGGGGAGCGTCAGGGGGGAAGGCGGCGGGAAGAAGGCGGCGAGAGAGAAGGACAGCCGCACGGCTAGTCCGGCGGAGGGGGAGTGGGAAACACACTACGCTGCGGCATGCGGCTCAATCTCTCGGGAGCTCGAGGGTGCGCCTGGCACCCACCGGAGGCTGGAGTGCGGGGCGCCTCGCTTGGCGGGGGCTTGCGCTCAAATGTGAGGGGGAACGCTAGGGGGGGGGCTGGCGCGGGGGGGGGGATGATAGACCTGGAATCAACGACACATGACAAATCCGAACGCTCCTGGGCGAGGGTGCAATCGGTCCGCTATCGGCGACGAATGGGGTATCGGGGGTCGATGCGTCCCCCCCGCAGCCTATCCCCCCCTAGCGTTGCCCCTAAGAAGGGGGGCGGGAGAAGGAAGAGATGGGGAGAAGAGGAGGAAGAGCTGGGAGGGAAGGGTACAGAAAAGAGGAGGGAGGCAGCGGGCAGGAGGATCCGAGGGAGGGAGGGCGGTTGGCTGGACAGAGAAGGGGAAGTGAGGAGGAGGAGAAAGGGCGCCAGCTTTAGGGATGAACCTGTCATCGGCGAAATGTCGGAGACTGTGAAGCAGCGTACAGATACTCCGTACTGCCAGATCCCAATAGTTGGACGACAGCGGGCCACATCCCTAGCGTGAAAGGAATGAGGAGGATCGCCAGCACAATGATGTTCGACGTAGGACGAGGAGCAGGAGGAGGAGCAAGCACGCACGCACGCACGCACGCACGCACACAAGCAAGCAAGCGAGCAAGCAAGCAAAGAAACAAACAAAAACTCTCAGGTGCAATCCCCTGTGCCACCGTGTTTATCCGCGCCCCGGGTACTAGGTCAGTACCAACCCAGCTGCGTCAAGCCGTGGCGACGAGGGGGCACCCAACAGAAGGCCACCCACCGTTGTCTCACCTCGCCCTCCCCTGACGTTCCTTGAGATCCGACGCTGCGACCACAATTGCAGCATCCCGCAAAATCGCAAACAGAGCCCCGGACCCCATCTTTCCAAGGTAACTTTTCGAGCCAGATCGATATGTCAGGGCCCCAGTGCCCGACACCAGGCAAAATCGACGCTTGTGACAAAAGGGACGCCAGGATTTCAGGGTTCGTCGCTATGGGAGATGGCCGAGGGCAGGTCGCCCACCTGCCGGCGACTCTGCGCGCCGGCCCTGCTGGTACAGGCGGTCGCCGCCGAGACCCTGGTGGATATGGACACATCCGGGCCTCCTGCAAGGGCCCGCCGAGGCCCCCGAAGATCGATCCCCCAGGCGGCGGTTGTGGATCCGCCACCGAGCCGCGATTCACGAGCTGGACGTTCCTCCTCCTGCCTCTTCCTCCCCAAAGTGTTCCGAGGATCGCGCCGCATCGCCGACACATCGCCGATGCATCGTTGATGCATCTATTCGGACAGGATCTAGGAGGCCTGCACTTCCCCCCAGGGGCTCGACAACAGCTGGGGGAGCACATGGTCCAATAGCTTGGCCAGGCTTTGGCCAACGTTTGGCCGCATGGGCGTTTCCAGAGGGAAGGGGGCGGAGGTGATTCGCCGTAGGTGTCTTTGATCCGCCGCCCCCTGTTGTCTTGCCACAGGGGTGCACGGAAAGCTAGATTTCTGAGTTGGTTTCGGTTCTTGTTCAAGTTACGGGGGGGCAAGGCCTATTTGCCTCCAAGACGGCCCAAATAGCCCAAGATGGTCTCAAGGATACCTCCAATACGTCTGAAGAAGTCCCAAGAAAACCTAAGATGGCATGGCCCCAAGATATGTGCGAGACGTCCCCAGATGCCTCCAAGGCTGCCCAACACGGCCTCGCGATGGCCCACAAGGTTACAAGAGGCCCCTAGGAGGCCTCCAAGACTGCCCGAGATGCCTCCAAGAGAACCCATCTGAAGGCCCGAAGAAGGCAACGTCATTGATCTCCCATGGTGTTTGAAATATTTGGGCGTTTGCATCTATTCGGCCTTCCGACGGCCCAAGACGGCCCAAGAGGCCGCAAAGCTCGCTCCAAGGGCGCCAAGAGTCCTCCAACACGGCCACGAGACGGCCCGCGAGATTTCCCAGGCGACCCTGAAGTGCCTCTCCGAGAGGGCCCCAAGTCCGCCCAGAGAGGCTTCCAAGATGTTTTCCGATGGCGTCTGACGGGCCAGGAGCGCCCTCAGGCCAAAGAGGGCTCCCAAGAGGCCCCCCCACCACAGGCTCCAGAGAGGGCCAAAGAGGGCCAATGGGGCCCTAAAGAGGCCTCCAAGAGGCCCCAGGAAGCTCTGGAGCCCCAAGAGGCCTCCTCCTCGTCGTCGTCGTCGTCCTCCTCCACCTCCTCCTCCTCCTCCTCATCATCATCGTCCTTCTCCTCCTCCTCCTCCTCCTCATCCTCCTCCTCCCGCTTCTGATGCTCCCACACCCTCCCCCAAGAAGCCCCCACAGTCCGACAGTTCGAGCCCAGCGTTCGGCCACGTATGCGATTCTCGAATCGGCAGGGGGCGGCGGTGGTTCGCCGTGGGCGTCTTCGAGAACGCCACGCGTCGGGAAGGAGGAGGAGGAGGAGGAGGAGGAGGAGGAGGAGGAGGAGGAGGAGGAGGAGGAGCCACGCCCGCTGCCCCACCCGCTGCCGAGCGCCCACGATCAAAGCAGCCGCCAAGCCCCGTGCGATGCCAGGCTCCGCAGCAGTAGGCACAGCGCCAGCAGCGCGCGCAGCGGCCGCAGCCGCGCGCTCCGCGCGCGCCCGCCGCGCAGGCCTTGGTGGTCCCAAAATGGTGCGGTGAGACTCCTCCTCCTCCTCCTCCTCCTCCTCCTCCTCCTCCTCCTCCTCCTCCGCCTCCTCCTCTTCCTCCTCCTCCTCTTCCTCCTCGGTGAGACAGCTTGTCCAGAAACTACTGGGAGGTCCCCGTCAAAACTGTTACAGGCTAGTGGCCCGATTACGGGGCCATTCTGCAAGATAAGGCCAGATTTGCCCTGGGATTGAAACAGATTAGAGGCTGGATTTCACCAATTTGAGCGGGATTTCGCGGGACTCTACTAGATTTGGCCGGTTGTACGGATGTACCAGCGCCGATGCAGAATTACCCCCCCAAGGAGTTGCATCCAAACACACCGTGTGGTGACCTCGAAACCCTGAGGGACCTCACCACTCACCGCAACGTCGGTCACCGCAAGGTTTTAGGACCTCGGATGCCCCAGTCGCTGGAGACATCATCGCAGAACGGCCCGAGTCCCAAAACCGTGCGGTCCCCCCGAATTGCCACTGACTCACCACACATTGTGGTCACCGCACCGCTTGTGAGAAAGACGATTCTCGTGTTGGGAGGATGGGGCTGGGACGATACAAGGTACGTCTGTGCCATATCGGAATCCGACTCAACATGCGCGATGATACCGATGATCTGATCACGACTCCCAGCCCAATCCTCCCAACCTTCTGTGAGAACTCATGGGAGCTTCCCATACTACCTTGTTGACTCTTGCGCATCGACGCTAGTCCACGCTAAGTCGACGCTAATCGACGCTAGATCAGAGCTAATCGACGCTAGCCGACGCTAAATCGGCGCTACCTCACCGACTTCAAAAGACTGATCGACGCGAGTCGGCGCTGAAGACATAAAGGGTATACCAGGCTCCCATGATTCGCTACCAAACAAACCCGATAGTTGCCTTTCCGAGTTTGGGGGCCCCCCGAACGCCGCAGGAGCCGAGGATCTCGGCGGCGACCGCTGGGGCCAGCAGGGCCAGGAACGCGCCGGCGCTGGCGCGCAGCGTCGCCGGCAGGTGGGCGACCTGGCGGGGCTGGCCCTCGTGCAAAAAGCCGCCGACCCCCAGAGAGAGCCTCAAGAGTCGACAGTCCACAGATATCCCCAGAAAGGCGCACGATGTCAGTAGATTCCTCCCGTTGGCGTTATCCGCGTGCACGGTGGCCCGAGCTACCCCAAGAGCGCTCCAGGAGGACGGAGCATGTGGCGCAAGCCTGCAAATCCACGTCCGGAGATGATGTGCTGAGCGGCAGCGTTTTTCGGCGAACGCCTTAATGCAACGTACCCGATGTATCTAATGATTGCGTCAGTCTTATACATAAACATATCTATATATATATATAGGAAAACATCTACATTATTTTTGGATTTGTGCTACATTATTATGTCTCCCCCCAACCCCCCATGGAGTCGCGCCACATGCGCGTACCGACCTGACGACTCTCATTCTGGGACTCAAGAACGTACCAGAACGAATGGGAAATCTACCTCATCGGCCTTTGGGGCCTCTTGGGAGCCCAGGAGGGTTTTCAGACGGCTCAAGATGGCCACAGGACGGGCCAACACTGCCCCACGATGGCCCCAAGAGGGCCGAAGAGGCCCCCAAGACGGCCCCAGAGGGCCCCGAGGGTGGCCCCAAGAGCGCCTCCAGAGGCCAGACATCTAATTTGTCCTGGGGGCCTCAAGAGCGCCTCCAGAGCCCAAGAGGCCTCCAGAGGCCAAACATTATTTTGGCATCATTCTACGCGGGGCCTGACGGCACAAGGAGCCTCCAAATGTCTCCAAGACGGCCCAAGAGGGCCCAGAGACGGCCCACGAGGGTCCGAAGATGGCCCAAAGAGGCCCCGAAGACGGGCCATGAAGCCCCCCAGTACGACACAAGACGGCCCCAAGAGAGCCCCAAGGCGGCGCCGAGAGGCCCCCAAGACGGCCTCCGAAGAAGCCAGATGGCGCAAGAGTCCCTCAAAAGCTCCCCAAGTGGCCCTCAAGAGGCCACAAGTGGCCCCAGAGAGGCCCTCAAAAGGTCCCCAGGGACCCCCAGGAGGCCTCCAAGAGGCCCCCAAGAATCCTCCTAACGGCCCCAACAAACTACCAAGTGGCCCGCGCAATTGTATACTACTGGCGCCTTGATGCAATGCTCATCTGGATTTGAACTTGGCGTTGCCTTGTGCTCACTTGTTGTCGGCGGCGTCGCAAAGCTCAAACGCGTGCACCAAAAAAACCGGTCGCAGAAACAACTGATTCGCCGGAGAGTGCCGTAGACGAGGAACGGAAAAGGAGGCAGCCGTGGAGGCAGAGGCGGACGGAACGTGCTAGTATGGAAATCGGGAGTATCGGCCTCTAGGGCTCCAGGACAGCCTCAAGACGGCTAAGAGTGCTGCAAGACGGCCCGCTATGACCCGAAGACGGCTCCAAATGGCACCAAGACGAGCCGCTCCCAGCCCAATCGTTAACCGGGCCCCTCCGTCCACCCTCGGCGGGTATGACTCGTGATGTCACCAGCCCCCTCCCCCTCTTCCCCCCCTTATAACGCCAACGTCGGAACCGCCAGCGAATCAACAAATTGCCTCAAATAGGGCCCCAAGAAGCCTTAGAACGCCCCCAAGAGGTCCCCAAAAAGTTTCTAACAAAAACTCCAAGGAAGCCCCAAATGTCCGTGCTCTCCGCAATCCAGACGAGCACACCGCGAAGCGAGAAGGATCCACTTCCGAAGCGACATGCTACCACAGGCAGGTGGCGGAGCGAAGCGGAAACTCTACTGAAAAAGATCCTGCACATCGACTTCTTGCTCACTTTCGATGTATCGAATTATTTCGTACTTGCTACATATGTATTATGTTAGATTCTTCTATCTCCCCCCCTGACCTTCCCCCCAGAGGCCACGCCACTTCTGTCGACCCAGGGATGGAAGACCCCTTCTGGGACAAAGAATTGTTTAAACATATAGGGAACCAATGATTTGGGCCCCTAGGGCCACTTGTGGGTCTAAGAAGGCGTCAAGACGGCTCAGGATGCCCTCAGTATGGGCCACAACGGCCCCAAGGCAGTCCAAGATGGTCCCAAGAGGGCCAACAAAAAACCCCAAGATGCTCCAATAGGGCCCCAAGACGACCCCTGAGAGCGCCTCCAGAGGCCAACATCATTGATTCTGAATGCTTGGGAGGATTGTCACGTTCTCGGGATAGCTATCCCTGGGCCGCGCCCGGCCCCAAGCCTGCCGGGCCCTGGGGTAGGGCCGGTGTCTGACTGCAGGCGCTCCAGGGGGGAGGAGGAGGAGGAGGAGGAGGAGGAGGAGGAGGAGGAGGAGGAGGAGGAGAGAGGAGGAGGAGGAGGAGGAGGAGGAGGAGGAGGAGGAGGAGGAGGAGGAGGAGGCCAGCAGTGGGCTGCCGCTGGCCACATCTGCACTGCCCGTCGGGAGGCGGCCCCGCGCAGAGACGGGGTCACGGGGCACCGGGCGGGGATGAGCATGAGCAAGGGGAGGGCGAGGGAGAGGAGACGCAGCAGGAGCACGATGAGAGCAGCGGAAAAGTCCACGTCAGACCGAGGAGCATCACAGGTGCCGCTGCCTCCTCGGGATCTGCATGTGGCCAGTGCTATGGCCTGGGCCTGTCCACGGGCTTCCCTGAGTGTGAGGGCGCGGCACGCAGAGAGCGGGCAAGGGGGGGCAAGCAGGCGGGACCCCGCCCCTCCCCGCCTCCTCCTCCTCCTCCTCCTCCTCCTCCTCCTCCTCCTCCTCCTCCTCCTCCTCCTCCTCCTCCTCCTCCTCCTCCTTCCTCCTCCTCCTCCTCCTCCTCTCCCCCCCCTCCTCTTCCTCCCCCTCCCCCTCCCCCTCCCCTCCCCCTCCTCCCCCTCCCCCTCCTCCTCCTCCTCCTCCTCCTCCTCCTCCTCCTCCTCCTCCTCCTCCTCCTCCTCCTCCTCCTCCTCCTCCTCCTCCTCCTCCTCCTCCTCCTCCTCCTCCTCCTCCTCCTCCTCCTCCTCCTCCTCCTCCTCCCCCACCTCCTCTTCTCCCCCTCCCCCTCTCCCCTCCCCCTCCCCCCCCCTCCTCCTCCTCCTCCTCCTCCTCCTCCTCCTCCCTCCTCCTCCTCCTCCTCCTCCTTCTCATCCTCCTCCTCCTCCTCCTCCTCCTCCTCCTCCTCCTCCTCCTCCTCCCCCACAGGGCCGAGACGACGCAGCCGATCGGCTGGCGGTGTCTGGCGGGTGGCAAGGGCGACCAGTTCAGACAGCGGCTGGCACGAGAGCAAATCATGACTCAGATGTTGTGGAGCATCACACCCTAAGAGGCACCGCGCATGTCGTTGCATACGGGTGTTCGTCGACCATCCCCCGAGCCATATTTTCAAGGCTGCCGAGACCCAGCTGGGGGGCTGAGTCTGGAGGAACGTGGCCAACTCGTCCCAAATCCCCCCCCCCAATCCGAAGGTCCACGCCGAACCATTCGACCGCACTCCTCCAGACGAGCAACCATTCGACCACACTCCTCCAGAGGAGCTCCTGCAAGTCGTTTTGGAACACGTGCTCGGCAACCAAAGCCTCGAAGACCCTCTGCCACTTAGGGCGAACCTCCCTGAACTGGAGGTGCTCCATCGCTGGTCGAACCAGTGTCGTTCCTCGGAGGCGCGCTGCCAGCTCATGAGGATGAGCTGGGGCACATACGAGGAGACAGGGAAGACCCTCGGGGCGTACAGCTGGATAGACATGGCGGAAGAAACACCTTGCCCGGCAACATGCCCCACGCGAAGGCGCGCCTGGGACATGGGCGCCGCCCAATTCATATCAACAGTGCTTGCCGGGCCGATCAACACCGAGGTACTTCAAATGTTATACTATTCCATGTCGGCTAAAGTCGAAGCAGGCCGCCCCAAACTGACGGTGAATGCGGGCCTCCCGTGCTTCAGACGGCTGTCCCCCGAGCCCCGCGGCCTTGCACTAGAGACGGACAGCAAGCATGTGAGCTTCCCAGAAGATCCTGGCGAGCTCTCGCAAGCCCTTCGATGTTATAATCCCTCCACCAGCGTCATCCGCATAGGCCCTAAGGGCCCAGTGACCCCTACTCTGGATGGCCCCCTATCCATGTCCCGATAAATAGGGCTGGAGGCGGCAACACAAAACCAACAAGAAAGCGGGCATCCCTGTACAAGGCCAGAAGTGACCTAGAACATTAGGCCGCTCATTCCCCCCATCACCATCGAGCACAGGCTCGAGAGGTACACGTCGTTCATTTCTAATCGGGCTCATTTCTAATTGTGTTCGTTTCCAATGTTTCCTGGCCCCCTCGTGGCCAGGAAGAGAGCCAGGATAGAACAATGAGATATGAAAGGATCTTAGCCCCCAAAAACAAAGAACGTTCAAATACATAGAAACGAAACATGTGTAGAGCTGGACAATCTCCGAAATCCAGCCAGGACCTCGGAGACCGAGAGGGTGCCGTGCAGCCACGACTAAGGCACACACGCACAGGAACGCCTGCGCAGAGCCCAAGGCGGGGAGCAGCGGCTCGAAATCACCCCCTGTCCCTGTAACGCCGGCTGGCAGCCCGTGAAAGGCCATCCAACTCCACCACGTTGCTGAGCATCTGGCGCCCTGCAAGGAAGCCCCTGAGTAGGAGGGCCCAGATCCAGATCCAGATCCAGGTCCAGATCCTGTGCAAGGAAGCCGTGGCCCAGATCCAGGGCTGGATGTACCCGTTTAGGAGTGCCGAGATCGCTTTGCTGGAGGTGTTGGTAAGCCCTATAAGGGGGCGCGTGTCGCCAGGGCGCCTCCCGAGAGGGCCTGCCTCGGAAGCCAAATCGTTCGCCGTCACGCCCTTTGGAAAGGAGGTCCCACTGCACTCCCCGAACCAGGCTGGCATCGACTCGCCAGCCGTCAGCTTGAGCAGGACGTGCATCAGGATCGACGGGCCTTCCCCAAGGAGCCACGCGAAGTCGGGGAGCCCGTCGGGGCCTGGCGCAGCCTCCCCAGCCCTCCAGAGGAAGTGCCGCGCCTTGCACAGGGTGGGCGGCGGCAGATCCCGGAAGTCTCCTAGAGGAGGCGAAAGAGGAGGAGGAGGAGGAGGAGGAGCAGGAGGAGGAGGAGGAGGCGAAATAGGATCAGGAGGATGGATGGGGAGGACGCGCGGGGAGGAAGCGGAGCAAGCCTCGCTGCCTGCGAAGGAAATTAATGCATGATGGCGCTAAGCCTGGAAGGGAGGGTCGCCCCTCTGGGCCTGTCTCGATGGCCTTTCTGTTACGCTCTTGGCGGCACCACTCAATCGCCTCCGGAGATCAACTGGCCATCGCTCGGACGTCCATTCCCTGTGCTTTTTCGGTTTCGTGCGTGGTTTTTTCGCCAAATGATCAAGGATGCTCCTCGATGGTCCTCGCCGAAGGAAAAATTCACACGTCCGAGCGATGCCAAGCCAACAGAAATCACGCAACGCTGCAATCTGATACACATCTAGAGGCTGAGGTGCTTCCAGCCCCAAAAAACGCCTGGAGCAGGGCCAGAACCTGGAACCCACTCGGGGAGACCCAGCTTCCCTGCCCACTGAGCCCGGACCTCCAACGACGGCGTGCGCAGCGGCCCGTGAGGACAAGGAGGGGAGAAAGGATAGTGCAGCAATAGCGGGGAGAGACTAGGATCAGCAGTAGCAGCAGCGGCAGCAAAGGCGGCAGGAGCAAGTGAAGCCCCTTCTCCTCCTCCTCCTCCTCCTCCTCCTCCTCCTCCTCCTCCTCCTCCTCCTCCTCCTGCTCCTGCTCCTCCTCCTCCTGCTCCTCCTCCTCCTGCTCCTCCTCCTTGTCCCCACTGCATCTCGTCAACGAGGACCCTCCAGAACCTCCATGGCCATCTTCGGAGCCCACGAGAACCAGCTAGGACACACGAGCCCACCGAGCACGCGAGTCCGCAGAGCTTTTCCTCCTCATCGGTCCACCTCGGTCTGCCAAATGACTTCTGACGAACACCATCTAGTCGGACATATGGGCCCCTCCTCCCTTCTGCTCCTCCCGCCTCCCCCCAAACCTCCCAACCTCGCCCCCAGAGCGACACTGGCCGTCACGACAGGGGCGCACAAGAGCGCGACGCGCGAACGAGAACCCGTCCGAGGGGCAAGAGAACTCCGCTGCTCCGCAAGGAATCTACGAGGCCCACGCGCTACAACAGAAGGCCAACCTCCCCCTCCTCCTCCTCTTCCCTCCCCCCTCCTCCCCCTCCTCCTCGTCCCTCCTCCTCCTCCTCCTTCTCCTCCTCCTTCTCCTCCTCCTCCCTCCTCCTCCTCCCTCCTCCTCCTCCCTCCTCCTCCTCCTCGCTCCTCCCCCTCCTCCCCCTCCTCCCCCCTCCTCCTCCCTCCCTCCTCCTCCTCCTCCTCCTCCTCCCTCCTCCTCCTCCTCCTCCTCCTCCTCCTCCTCTCCTCCTCCTCCTCCTCCTCCTCCTCCTCCTCCTCCTCCTCCTCCTCCTCCTCCTCCTCCTCCTCCTCCTCCTCCTCCTCCCTCCTCCCTCCTCCTCCTCCCTCCTCCCTCCTCCCTCCTCCCTCCTCCTCCCTCCTCCCTCCTCCCTCCTCCCTCCTCCCTCCTCCCTCCTCCCTCCTCCCCTCCTCCTCCTCCTCCCTCCTCCTCCCTCCTCCCTCCTCCTCCTCCTCCTCCCCCCTCCGGAGAAGCACGGTGGCCTGCAGGGGCAGGCGCTCGCCGCCCGGGTTCGCGTACCCCACGGAGGCCGCGAGCTCGAGCCTGCGGGGCCGGGGCACGCTGCCGACGCCGACGCGCTGGCGGCGACCGCGGCCGCCGGCGACGACGCGGCGTGGCCAAATCTCGGCCGCCGTCGGCTTCCTAGATCCCCGAGGATGTGATTTGTTCAATCCAGGTGGTGCCTCCCCGAGTTCGGCCTCTGAGGGCCGTCGTTGCCTGGGCGCCAGGACCATCAGGCAGCGATACGGAGCGAAAGGGTGGCCCCGGTGAAAGGGTCCAGACGTTGGGAGCCACGCATCTGTCGCCAAATGTTTGGGGACAACGACGGCGACGGGGCCAAATCTTATCATGAAAGAGGAAGAGCACAGACCACCGCCACCGAGAATCAACCAGCGGGGCCGACAGCTGGGCGGTAGAACGCCCGAGCGTCGTCGGGTTCCAGTCGGACCTAGGCCAGACTAACATTCTTCCTGCTAGGACTGCTTGTCCCCCCTTCCTAGAAGGGGAGGGCTGGGGAGGAACAACGTGATTATGTATCGATGTCCTCGTCCGAAATCTCAAGGCGTCGTCGACGACGGCAGTGACGACAACGACCACGGCGGCGACGGCGGCGGTGTCGGCGGCGATGTGACGGCGGCGGGGGCAAAATGCCGGGCGGTTGGGGTTCGAGGGGCCTCTCGGCGAGCGCGTTGAGCACCACCACGCTGTACCTTGGCGCGCTCTGGAGGCACAGGGGCGAGCGCAGCAAGGCTCGGCCTCCCTGTACGTTGCACGGGCTTGAACATGTGATCGGAGCGTCTGGAAACAAAGACTGCTTAGGCGATGTGGCCAACAAAAAGGGTGACACCCGCACGGGGTGGCTCGGCCTCGTGACAGGTTCCGCCGCCCTCTGGGACGAGAAGGCCGTCTCCTTCTCACTTCCCCCCCTCGCTCGCCGTCGATCTCCTTCATCATCCTCGAGGAGAAAGAGGAGGATCCTTTGGATGCGGGCTGACATCAAGCCACGGCTCCCTTAGAAGGAGGGAGGTGGAGGGAGAGGCGGAAGAGGTTGGGGGTGAGGAGGAGAAGGAGGAGGAGGAGGAGAAGGAGGAGGGATATGAGGATAGAGATGAGGGAGAGGAGGAGACGGAGGAGGGTGAGGAGAAGGAAGGAGGAGGAGGAGGAGGAGGAGGAGGAGGAGGAGGAGGAGGAGGAGGGGGAGGAGGAGGAGGAGGGCCGCAGCTCCCCGTTGGGCACCGGTCGGGAGCGAGCGCGCGCACGTGGACGAGCGCGTCGAGGCCGCCCCCGAGGGGGCAGCGCCAGTGGCTGGGCACGCGCGGCCAGCGCAGAGGGGGGGGGGGCCTGCACGCCTGTATGGTCGTGTCTACGCCTCTATGGTCGTGCCTACTCCTCTTCCTCCACCTCCTCCTCCTCCTTCTCCTCCTCCTGGTCCTCCTCCTCCTCCCTCCTCCTCCTCCTCCTCCTCCTCCTCCTCTCCTCCTTCTCCCCCTCCGTCTCCAACTCCACCTCCACCTCCTCCTCCTCCTCCTCCTCCTCCTTCTCCTCCTCCTCCCTCCTTTTCCTCCTCGCCATCCTCCACCTCCTCCTCCCTCCTCCTCCTCCTCCTCCTCCTCCACTCCTCCTCCCCCTCCTTTTCCTCCTCCCCCTCCTTTTCCTCCTCCCTCCTCCTCCTCCTCCTCCTCCTCCTCCCTCTCCTTTCCTTCTCCCCCTCCTCCTCCTCCTCCTCCTCCTCCTCCTCCTCCTGCTCCTCCTCCTACTCGAGGCGGCGGCCCCAGCGGCACGCTGGCGCTCCGCGAGCGGACGGCGCGTGGCTCCGCTCAGGGGGGGCAGGAGTCCGAGAGGGGCTCGGAGCGTTGACGCTCGGGATTTGGGACGTGGATAGCTCTTTCCAGGGCGTCCTGGAAGGCTCTCAGAGCTCAGAGCGTTCTGGGACGCTTTCAGAGCGTCATGGAACGCTATGGACAGGCAGCGGCGCCCGATACATCTCCCAGAACCACCAGATCTTAGAGATTCTTCCTTCGTGGCGCCCGCCGCGCGTCGGCGCGACACGCGACAGTCGGACTTCATTGGAGAGGACACGCGAGAGGACACGAGACCCTTCCGAAGGCCACATCGCCATTGGAGTGTAAGAAGGCACGCGTCGCGAGGCACAAGGCACACGGGTACCCTTGAGCTGGCAGGGTCCACCTACTAATCCGGGCCGACTGTAGCGTGTCGCGCCGACGTGCGGCGGGCGCCACAAAGGAAGAATCTCTGAGATCTGGCGGTTCTGGGAGATGTATCGGGCGCCGCTGCCTGTCCATAGCGTTCCAGGGCGCTCCGAGAGCGTCCCAGAACGCTCTGAGAGCATTCCTGGACGCTCTGGAAAGAGCTACCCCTGTCCAAGCCCCGTCCGATCTATTGGTCGCGTCTAGGGTCTAGGGCCGTGCGCACCCCAGACCCCCTCGCGTCGCTCTTGTGCCGCTGCCGCTGAAGGAAAGGTACATGGCCTGGGGTATTCTCGTTGCTGCCAGTTTCGGCCTCGGGTGTCCCCTCGCCGGGCCCACAGGCCGTCAGCCAGCTGCACGGTCAACAAAACGGCTCGGGATGAAAGGCCGGTCCCGTGGGATTGGTCGAGACGTCCTGGGAGGCGGCCTGGGGCACCACATCCTCCTCCTCCTCCTTCTCCTCCTCCTCCTCCTCCTCGTGCTGGGGGCCGTCCCTGTGCGCACTGGCCCCCCCTCGGCGGTCTCGCACACCGCCCTTCGAGAAGCAACAAACCGCCCCCTCGAAAGTCGTGTGCGCGGCACGCTCGCGTACAGACCACCACCAATTCCGCCTCCTCATCAGCGTCACTGCCCAGCTTCCTCCTCACCAGCGCCAGCACCAAAAACGACCGCCCTCAAAAAGCTGATCCGCCTCTGCCTCCTCTTCCTCCCCCTCTTCCTCCTCCTCCTCCTCCTCCTCCTCCTCCAACTCTATCACCCTCATCCTCATCCTCATCCACCGTCTTCCTCCTCCCTCACTTCTTGCTCCCCATCCCTCTTCCGATCATACCCTATACCCCCTTTCCAGGGTACCTTCTTGGACCCTTCTGGCAATCCTACGGCATCCCAGGAAAACTGGAAACACAAACATTTGAGGTGCCAAACGCGTGCGGTGACAGATCGTGCGGTCCTCGAAATCCCGAGGGCCCTCACCGAACGGTCAGTCACCGAATGGTTTCAGGACCTTGGAAGCCCCAGTCGCCCGAGCCATCCTTGGAAAGCGACAGACCCACATACTCATCCCGAATCACGAGTGACTCACCCCATGGTGAGGTCACCACACCGCTTCGGGGTCCCCGATGTATGTCCAACACCTCTCCGCGAAGCCCAAGAGAAAGAATCCTCCTCTGCCAGAATCCCAGCCACGATTGCAATACATGAGATCATCTAGGAGCAGCCGCGCACGTTCGGAACACCTGCGCAACAGAGCCACCCTCGTTCATGTCCTCCTCCATCTCATTAGCATCCTCCTTCCCCTCCTCCACCATCCCTCTTCGCAAGAAACGACGTCGACGCCGCCGCCGACGCCGGCGACGACGGAGACGGCCACGGTGGCGACGACAACTGTGGTGGGGGCGGCAGCGACGACGACGACGACGAAGACGAAAACGACGACGACGACGACGACGACGACGACGACGACGACAACGACGACGACGACGACGACGACGACGACGACGACGACGACGACGACGACGACGACTGCCGCGGCGGCTACGACGACGGCGGCGGCTACGACGACGACTGGGTGGCGGCGGCGTGTCCCTGCCCGGCCCGACGTGGACAGACAAACCCGCGACGCCAGAGGCGGCGTCTTGGCCACCGACCCCCCCAGCTGCGCTGGCCGGATGTAGTTGGTGCCCGCTCGGCCAGCGCCGTACGCTGCCTGTCGTCGTCGTTCTCCTGCTCCTCGTCGTCGTGTTCCTGCTCCTCCACCCTGCTCCTGCCTTCTCCTCCTGCCCCTCCTGCTCCTCCTTATCATCGTCCTGCCCCTCCCCTTCCCCTTGTCCTCTTCAGCCTCCGTTCCTCGCCTCCTCCTCCTCCTCCTCCGCCCTCCTCCTCTCTCTCGTCCTCCTTAATCCGCTTTCCCTCACAAATTCTTGCACTTCGAGGTTCCCACCTCTGTTCTAAGGAACTGGGCCTGCGTGCTGATCTGGCAGCTATGCTGTCGCCGTCGCCGCCTCTTTGCCGCCTAGCCTCCACTGGTTGTTGCCCTGGGTGGCCGGTCTGGCGGCTATGTTGTCGCCATCGCCGCCGCGTGACCGCCTCGTCGCCGCCCGTCGTGTGGGCCTGCGTGCCAGTTTGGCGGCAATGTTGATGCCGTCGCCGCCCCGTCGCCGCCTCGTCGCCGCCCGTCGACTGGGCCTGGGTGCCAGTCTGGCGGCCATGCTGTCGCCGTCGCTGACCCCGTCGCCATTTAGATTCTCCTTTCTAAAAAAAGAACAGACTCTACCCCCCCCCCGGACTTATCGGTTCCCCCTTGGATATTATGATTTCACATACATTCTGCACACTCGTCCATCCTAAATGTGAAATCATACCATCCCAGCCAGGCCGGGTTCCCCACCCCTGAGGTTCCCTTGTAGAAAACATTATGCGGTGACATTTTTTGTTCAAACAAAACATTTTGTTCGCAAATCCCTTGCAAAAAAAAGAAACGAAGTGCACACGCGCGCGTCGTCGCGCGCGCATGCCGAAATCCTTCAAAAACCTTCCGTGCGGGAAAGATTTCGCAATCGAGTTTCCAAAGGACATACAGAATCACAGGTTTCGCAACACAGAGTTGCTGAAAAAGCTTCCGCGAAAGCTCTTGCGAAATCTTAAGAAAACCATAGGTTTTTCTAGATTTTCGCAAAATGCTACCAAACGGGCTTTGCGCGCGCTCATGTCGAAATCTGTCGAACGCCCTTGCGCGTGTGCCGTCGCGAGAATCTCCTGCAACAAATGGGACGAACTGCAGATGCGCGCGTCGTCGCGCGCGTATGCCGAAAACCTTCAAAACCCATCGGTTTCGGAAGGATGTCAAAATCGTGTGTCCGAAAAACTTACAAAAACACAAGGTTTCGCAACACGGACTTTCAACAAAAGCGTGCGCGCGCGCTCTTGCGTCGTCGTCGTCGTCGTCGTCGTCGTCGTCGTCCTCTCTCCTCCCGCGTCGTTGTCGTCGTCGTCGTCGCCTACGTCGTCCTCTGTCTTTCCTCGTGTTCGTCGTCGTCGTCCTCTTTGGCGTCGTGGTCGTTTCCGTCGTCGTTGTCGCCGTGGTCGTCCTTCCTCCTCCTCCCTCGTCGTCGTCGTCGTCCGTCGTCGGCGTCTCGTCGTCGTCCCTTCTATTTCGTCGCCGTCGTCGTCGTCGTCGTCGTCGTCGTCGTCGTGTCGTCGTCGTCGTCTTCCCTCCTCCCTCGTCGTTGCCGTCGTCGGCGTCGCCGTCCTTCCTCCTTCTTCGTCGTTCGCGTCGTCGCCGTCCTCCCTCCTCCCTCGTCGTTGTCGTCGTTGTCGCCGTCGTCGTCCTCCCTCCTTCCTCGTTGTCTTCGTTGGCGCGTCGTCGTCGTCTTCGTCGTCGTCGTCGGCGTCGGCGTCGTTGTCGTCTTCGTCGTCGACGTCGGCGTCGTCGTCGTCGCCGCGTCGTCGTCGTCGTCGTCGTCGTCGGCGTCGTTGACGTCGTCGTCGTCGTCGGTGTCGTCGTTATCGTCGTCGTCGGCGTCGTCATCGTCGTCGTCGTTGTCATCGTCGTCGTCGTCGGCGTCGTCGTCGTCGTCGTCGTCGTCGTCGTCGTCGTCGTCGTCGTCGTTGTCGGCGTCGTCGAAGTCGTTGGAGACGTCGTCGGTGTCGTCGTACTCGTTGTCGGCGTCGTCGTCATCGTCGTTGTCGCTGTCGTCGTCGGCGTCGCTGTCGTTGCCAAGTGCCATTTTGTACCCACCGTCACGGTCTTAAGAGATGTTGCAAACCAGTTGCGGGTGGGGGGATGGGATGTTTGCGCGAGCAGTGGAGTGGACAACTCACTGAGAACAGAAATTAATTGAACAACATAGATTGCACCGCGTCGATTCTCCTTTCTAGAAGAGTATTGGGATCTACAACCCCCTATTTAACCGCCCCCGCCACTCGCATGGCAATTTACGTACGATTCTGCCCCATCGTCCATTCCAAAATTCAGTCCATACCATCACAATCAGGCCGGTATCGACACCCCCCTACATCCTCTTCAAGAACATCTATGCGCGCACTTCTTGTTACACCAAAAACATCATGTTTCCCAAACCGACTTTCTATATCACAAACGAACGGAATGCAGACGCCCGCATCGTCGCGCGCGCATGCCGGAATAAGCATAAGCAACCGTAGGTTCCGTATACATGTCAAAATCGAGGGTTACGAAAACATCAAACACACATGGTTACCCAAAAAAGATGTTCAAACACACCCTACTCTCGCACTCTGGCAGATCCTGCAGAAAACCATAGATGTTTCAACATGTTCCTTAAATGCTACCAAACGGGCCTCTCGCGTTCGGGCGAGCATGTCGAAATCGTCCGAGCGCCTTTGAGTGTGTGCTGTCGGAGGAACCCTTTGCAACAGACGGGACGAAGTGTGCACGCGCGCGTACTAGCGTGCGCATGCCCAAATCTTTCAAAAACCTTCGTTTTCAGAATCCAAGTTGGCCCCGATACGGCCCCCAGGGGTGCCCCAGGCCCAAAAAAGTGCCCAGGAGGCCCCACGAGGCCCCCAAGAGGCTCCCGAGATGCCCTCAAGAGGCTCCCAAGAGACCCTCAAGGGGCCCCAAGAGGTCCCCACAGAGGCACCCAAGGCGCCCCGAAAGGCCTCCGCGAAAAGGCCTAACCTACTGAATATACTAAGCTGCTGGCCACATGTTGGCCTCCTAAGGGAGGTCCCAAGTAAGGAGCCCTCTTTCCTTTAATCCATCTCTTCCAAGATGGCCCCAAGATGGCCCCCGAGGCTCCCAAGGGTGCCCCAAGACGGCCCCGAGAGGAACTCAAAAGGCCCCAAGAGGCCCGCACGATGCCCCCGCGATGCCCCCGCGATGCCCCCAAGAGGCTCCCGAGAGACCGCCGAGAGGCTCCAAGGGCCCCCTCCCAAGGGCACCCAAGGCGCCTCAAGAGGTAAAGGACTTCCAAGAGACCCGCAAGACGCCTTAAGCGGACCCCGAGAAGCTTTCGAAAGAAATCCGAAAGGGGGTCTCTGGCCTTTCTGCTCGCCATCCTCCTCCTCCTCCTCCTCCTCCTCCTCCTCCTCCTCCTCCTCATCTGCCTGTTCCTTTTCCTTCCCCCTTCCTCATCCCCCTCCCGCATCCCCCACTTCCTCCTCCTCCTCCTCCTCCTCCACCTCCTCCTCCTCCTCCTCCTCCTCCTCCTCCAGCCTCCTCCTCCTCCTCCTCCTCCTCCTCCTCCTCCTCCTCCTCCTCCTCCTCCTCCATCCTCCCCTTCATGGGGTACGACGTCTCACCCAGCCCAGTATTCCACTGCGTCCTTCTCCACATCCATGATCAGGGCAACTCGCCTGGGCATCGTTTCTGGATGGGCTGGTAGGGTGACGCAAAGCGTCTACAATAACTCTTTCCTGTCGCACCCGCAGACCTGTTGGTTTGGCCAACTGGGCGTTTCGCCTGAGGCTTTCCTCACCATTCATGATCCTGAAGCCTGGAATTTACAGCAATTTCACGGATGGATGGCGGTTCGTTTTCAAACTGCCGCTCCCGCCTCAGCGCCGCGTACATTCTCCTCAAAGTTTACACTACTTTCAGGGGTGGATGGCGGGCTGGTTTCAGGTTGAGGCTCTCACAATAGCGCCGCGCGCAGTATCATGGTAGAGTGCGGGCGGTTTGCATGCAGTTTTTTTTCACAGCGTTACCAAGCAAGGAATCGTGCTCTGACACGATTTCGGATTGACAAGACACAACAGGAACATTGATTCACGGCGCTGGCATTCAAGGGGTTGAGTGTTGGCACTGATGAAGAGTCTCAAACGATTGCCCTCCAATGGGGTATTTCCCAAAATGGAGATACATGCTTCTGCGGCCCCATGAAGAGGCAACGTCATTGATGCATCCTCGGATTACCCTGGTTGTTCTCCTCCTCCTTCTCCGCTTCCTCCTCCCGCCACCCCTTATCACCTTCCACGTGCAGCTCCTGCTCTTCCTCCTCCTCATCCTCCTCTTCCTCCTCACCATCCCTCCTCCCCAGATCCTACCAACTCTCCCCTACTCCTCTTCTTCCTCCTCCTCCCCCTTCCGCCTCTCCGCCCTCGCGACCACCAATCCTCGGCCCCCCCCTCATCCTCCTCCGCATGCCGCCTGCAGGCTGTCCCTGACCTCGCCGAACTGCCACCCCGTCAACACCATCAGCACGGCGCCCCTGGCTGGGGACGCGCTCGAGATGTTCACCTAGGGGGGGGAAGGCGATCCAAATCTCCAGCGTCGCGATGTTCTCGCAGCGTGGACCCCTAGAGGTCTGGACCCCTTCCCGAGGACCGGCTCGTCATCCCGAGCCGTCTTTTGACGGTCCTGGGGCCCAGCGAGGGCCCCCGCGGAGGCCGACGCCTGGCAGACGCCTTCGGTCGCTAATTTTTGCACGGCGCGAGCACGTCTGGGCTCCCCGCGCCCGCACCGACGCCCGCCAGCCGGGGGCGGGAGACCTATCCGCGTCCACGGGATCGCGGTCGGGGCTCCTCTTTGGACGCCCGAAATGGGTACGGAACAAATTGGCACCATGCCCAACAACAACTGCTGTCCCAACCCAACAGCGGCCGCTGTTGGACAGGCGGCACTCTGTCTCGAGTGGACACAGGCCGCGGCGGCGCGGACAGCGAGTCCTGTTCAAATGAGCAGGAACTGCTGTTGGGCATTATACCAATTCTTTCCATGCCCATTCCGTTCGTGCCGATCGTCGGCCGCGACCCCATGGATTCGGGGCGGCTTTGCGCGGATGCCCCGCTCGAAACGTATCCATCGGATCGCGTATCCACGGGATCGCGCCTCCAAATCCAGACCGCGAGGGCATGGAACTGGATATGCTCGCCGCTCGCGAGCCAGGCCCGCCGCCTGAGCCCCAGGCGGGGGCCGACGCAGGGTGGACCGCCGCGGCCGCCCAGCCAGGACGACGGCGGCTGCTACGTGCCGACACCCATCTTCGCCAGGCCAGCACTGAGGGGCTCTGGATCGGTGCCTAGTGGTGCGCGCGCGAGGGGGGGGGGCGCGGGAAGGCGGCTGCCTTCCAGAGAAGGCGGTCCTCCTTCTACTCCTCCTCCTCCTCCTCCTCCTCCTCATCCTCCTCCTCTTCCTCCTCCTCGTCCTCCTCCTCCTCCACCTCCCTCGTCCTCCTCCTCCTCCTCCTCCTCCTCCTCCTCCTCCTCCTCCTCCTCCTCCTACTCCACCTCCTCCTCCCCCTCCTCCTCTTCCTTCCTCCTCAACCTCCTCCCCTCATCCTCCTCTTTCTCCTCTTTCTCCACGTCCTCCTCCTCCTCCTCCTCCTCCTCCTCCTCCTCCTCCTCCTCCTCCTCCTCCTCCTCCTCGTGCTCCCGTCCCTCGGTTGCACGACATGGTCTGGCGCTGGTCCTCCTCCTCCTCCTCCCCCTCCTTCTCCTCCTCCTCCTCCTGCGAAGGCGGGGGAGCTTCCAAGACGGCAGGGGTCTCCTTGGAAGCCCTCCCGGCTTCCGAGACGTCTTCTGCGGGGCCCTGCTGAGGGGGCGGGGTGCCCTCCAAGAGGCACCCCGCCCCCTCAGAAGGCCGCCCCCTCGCGCCCCCTCCTCGGATGATGAAAGTGAGGCTCGGGAGCTGGGTCCTGGCAATGGGGCCACGCATGGGCGATACATCCTCAATTGCTGTGTTCGGCGGGGGTTCCAATTGAAGCTCCCCGCCTGCACACATGCGCGAGACTTGAGGGTAAACGGAGCAAGGAGGCGGGGGGCTCAGGAAAGGCGGCGAAGGCAACGTGCGCACGAGGAGGCTCCTTGTGCGCACCGCCGACCCTGGCCCGGCCAGAGCCAGCGCACGGGCACCGACCTCCCTGCTCCCTGGGCGTGGAGGCCCCGGCCAGGACCGTCGCCGCGGGGCACTCGCGCCGATGTGGCGCTCGCCGCCCGCCCGGATCCAGCGGTGACGACGAGGGCCTCCTGGGCGGCCCCCAAAGTGGGCAAACGGGGGAAGGTTTGCGGTATGGGCACCTTTTGCCCCTCCCCCCCCCCTCATCCACGCAGCAAGCCCCCCGCGGCGACCCGAGCACCGCCCCCTTCCCGATGCTCGCCCGGATCGTGGCCCCCGGGGCGAGCCCCACGTCGTGCTCCAGCACGACCAGCGGCGCCTCCGTCACGAAGGCGCCCCGGGCCGCCCCGGCCCCCACGCCGCGGGAGCCGAGCCACACGGCCCCGAGCCAGAGCTCGGGCGCGCGGGGCCAGGGGCGCGGCAGGCAGCACGCGGCGCGCCGTGCGCGGCGGCGCTCGCTGGCGGCCCCCCTCCGCTCCTGGAGGGGGGAGGCTATGCAGAGAGGGCGCCGTGGGGGTACAGCATGAGCTCGACGAGAAGACACCTTCCACAAGAAGCCCAGCCCTGAGACCCTGGGATCTCCATCGATGTCTGGTGTGGGAGCGTCGCGCTGGCCATGGCAAGACCATCGAAACCCAAGAAGCCCGAGGCTCTGAAGCCTGATGGGCAGACTCATTCTCGAGCGCCCCCACCGTATACAGAAGACACGTGCGAGACGATATCCGTCGGGGAGACGGAAGACTCGGGTTGGGAGGACTCGAGTTGGCCCGGCGGGGCCATCAGCAAAAGGACGAGACCCAGTCTGAGATTTGAGGCGGGCTCCCGCTGCAAACATCCCACGAGAACGGGACCGTCAAAATTCAGAACGGGACCGTCAAAACTCAGAGTGGACACGCAAAAACACATGCAGATAAATTTAAAAGAACTACGCTGAGATCGGGGCGTTGCAACTCTCTCGCAACGGGCCAATTCGCTCAGTTTCGGGTCCTCTCGAGTATCGACGCAGAAACATTGGGTCTAGAGCCCCAGTCGTGATTTCTGGCGATGTTGCAACTTTTTGGCAACGTCGGATCTCAAGAAATTTGGGCACATTCCTCGGCGATCGTCGAAGCTCCTGAGGTGGAGCGACGTCGAAAGCGCCGAGCGCATTGAGAAAGTCGGTTCCCAGATCTCCGACGAGATGAGTTTTCAATCTAGGCGTTTTCCCTCATTGTCGGCATCTGGAGCTCATGCTTGGACCCCAGGACCATCAAAACTGAAACTGGGGCGAAAAACTGGTTGCAGAGAGGGGGCGGGGGGCCTCTGGCACCGCGCATTGAACAAATCATATCGTCGGATGCCTGGGTTCGCCTTGTCACAGTGTTCGGCCTCCAGGGACCCCGCACTGAAAGAACACAACTATGGGATCTCTGGGACTGGCTGCTGATTGGGGGCTTTGGGAGACCCTTGCCCAGGATCGGCGACACGCCGCCGATAGATTGGCGAAGGGCCCCCGACGAAACCAGACGCTCCTGGGTGGGGAATTCCCCCCCCGGGCCCCGGTCGGCGAGGAGTGGCCGATTGGGGTCCATATCTGCCCCCCCGCCTGATCCTGGTGGTCAGGTCGACCCCCTCCCCTCCTCCTCCTCCTCCTCCTCCTCCTCCTCCTCCTCCTCCTCCTCCTCCTCCTCCTCCCTCCTCCTCCTCCTCCTCCTCCTCCTCCTCCTCCTCCTCCTCCTCCTCCCCTCCTCCTCCTCCTCCTCCTCCTCCTCCTCCTCCTCCTCCTCCTCCTCCTCCTCCTCCTCCTCCTCCTCCTCCTCCTCCTCCTCCTCCTCCTCCTCCTCCTCCTCCTCCTCCTCCTCCTCCTCCTCCTCCTCCTCCTCCTCCTCCCCTCCTCCTCCTCCTCCTCCTCCCCTCCTCCTCCTCCTCCTCCTCCTCCTCCTCCTCCTCCTCCTCCTCCTCCTCCTCCTCCTCCCCTCCTCCTCCTCCTCCTCCTCCTCCTCCTCCTCCTCCCTCCTCCTCCTCCTCCTCCTCCTCCTCCTCCTCCCCCTCCTCTTCCTCCTCCTCCTCCTCCTCCTCCTCCTCCTCCTGCTCCTCCTCCTCCTTCTCCTCCTCCTCCTCCTCCCCCCCTCCCCCTCCTCCTCCTCCCCTCCTCCTCCTCCTCCTCCTCCTCCTCCTCCTCCTCCTCCTCCTCCTCCTCCTCCTCCTCCTCCTCCTCCTCCCCCTCCTCCTCCTCCTCCTCCTCCTCCGCCCTCCTGTCGGTGCCCCTGATCCGAGGTGGTCAGGTCGACCCCCGGGGCTCCTCCTGCTGCGCGTGCCGACTGGCATCTCGAGGCAGATCCAGCCGTGGCCACGAGGGCGCCCGAGGAGGACCAGTCACGCCCCGAGGGCGAAGCCCGACCCCCCTCGAAACTCGAGCCTCGACTCCCTGGGCAAGCTTCTCCACAGCTCCGACGTCGTGATTGCTCTGGACCGACCGACCGATGCAGATCTGGACCCCCTTCTCAGTACCACATGCTCATCCCGAGCCGTTTGTTGAGGGTCCCGGGCCTTGGTTAGGGCCCATAAGCCGACAATTGCAATACACAATTATGCTCGCCAACGTCGACCCAAAACCGTGTTTGAAGCAATATATGCCGTGCAATCAATGTGGTGCCTTCGATGTTGTGCAATCTAAATGTCGTGCAATACATGTTGCGCACTCTATGTGGTGCAATACGCGATGTGCATGCTGCGTTGTGCAATATACGTTGTGCAGCCAGTGTGGTGCATCATATGTGGTGCAACATGCGTGGTGCAATCTAGGTGGTGCAATTGACTACCCTGCACCGCGCTTGACCACTCCACTGCTCGCGCAAACATCCCACCCACCCACCCGCAACTTGGTTCGCACAATCTCTTAAGACCGTGACGGTGGGTACCAAATGGCACTTGCCAACGACAGCGACGCAGACGACGACAGCGACAACGACGACGACGACGCCGCCGACAACGACTACGACGACACCGGCGACGTCTCCAACGACTTCGACGACGCCGACAACGACGACGACGACGAAGACGACGACGACACCGACGACGACGACGCCGACGCCGACGACGACGACGACGATGACAACGACGACGACGATGACGACGCCGACGACGACGACGACGACGCCGACGACGACGACGACGACGACGACGTCAACGACGCCGACGACGACGACGACGACGACGACGGCGACGACGACGACGACGCCGACAACGACGACGAAGACGACGACGAAGCCGACGCCACGACGACGACGAAGACGACGACGACGTCGCAAACGAAGACGACGACGAGGGAGGAGGGAGGACGACGACGGCGACAACGGCGACAACGACGACAACGACGAGGGAGGAGGGAGGACGGCGACGACGCGAACGACGAAGAAGGAGGA